TCTGCATAATTTTTTTGTTCGATCTCTAACGTCCTGCTCTCTCTACTTTTCCTCATAGTAGATTCATCTGGTCTGTTCCTGTTTGGCTGTGATGCCATCCTGGAGAGAAATATCAGCTGTGCTGCTGCCATTAACACCTTTGTTTATAGATATTGGAGATTGGCCTGTTTTCAATGTGGTCCTGTTTCTCTGACTGTGACTAACTGTATGTACTATCTTCATCCTCTGACATGGGATCATACTCGGAGCTCGTCTGCCTGGGTGTGTGTTTCCGGGACGAGTCCGCCTGTGGGGCTGGTTGACAGTTACCATTTGTATCTCTGCCTCTGTCTCCTTGAACCCCAGTTGACGTCGGCAGATGGCCGCTCAGACCGATTCTAGTTCTGGTGGAGGTTTCTTCCTGTTAAAAGGGAGTTCCCTCTCCGCTGTCCCTACAAGCATGCTTAGTGTGAGGGATTGCCTTAAAGTCAATGAGTCGATGCAATCAACTGGTTTTCCTTAGATAGAAAACGTTGAATTAATTTGAAAATATAATCTAGTTGAATTGTAAAGTGCCTTGAGATGACATGTGTTGTGAATTGGTGCCATAGAAATAAACTGAATTGAATAGATTACATTTAAAATTCAGAGTTAAGTTTTGAATGTGTTCCACTACATTTAAAGGAGGTGCTAAAGGTTTATGATTTAAAAGAACAGCCTCTTTGTCACAGTGTAGGTAAGGTGATGCCCACAGTCGCCATTTTCTTACTCAGGAGGATGGATTAACCAAGTGAACTGAGACCAGGGGGCTTTCTCATAAAACCGGCTTAGTTGGTGAAGCCTGGTTTATTTTGATATCATTTGGGTTTTCTAAAGCTGTCTGCTCTGAATCTGGCTGTTTCTATAGCAACTGACCCAATGAACTTAGGCTGGTCAGGAACAGCTTTAGAGCTGACCAAGGTCTGAATTTAGAACATTTTTAAGGAAACTGAAGCTAAAGCAGAAGTGTGTTAGCAATCATCATGATAATTGCCATCCAAAAGTTTCTGAAAGTAAGGAAGGAGTTAGAAAGGGGAAGCAGGAGACTACCTGTTCTAGTCCAGATAGCATAGAGACCTCCTGATGCCCCTATAGCTGCAGCATAGGGATGGATTGAGGAATTGCTAAAGAATCAACGACAAAATTGAAGCAAAAATCGTCACTGCATACTCCTTCAGGAGGAGGTTGTCTTGCAAGTCAATGAGTGGATGCAATCAACTGGTTTTCCTAACCAATCTGACAGTATTTTCTTTGAGATGCCTTGAGAGGACGTGTTGTGAATTGATGCTATATATATATATATATATATATATATATATATATATATATATATATATATATATATATATATATATATATATATATATAGAAGATATGTGGTTGTTCACAGTCCTTTGCTTGACAGACCATACAAGCACAGCCAAGCCCATGGAGTTTAACAAAAATACAATATTTTGTGTCATGTATGATATGTGACACATGGAAACTTCCTCATCTTCCTATGCTTTGGGTTTTATAAGAGAGAGCTTCAGCTGTTCACTTCATGTGTGTAACTGATATTTGCAGTTCTCTTCAAAAGATTTAAACCCAATTTGACAAGCATCATCCATGTTTGTGTCTGTTGCTTAATGATGTTCATAGGCTGTCCAGTCTCAGTACAGCAGATCATAGTTCCCTTCCTGAATAGTAGTTCCTATTGTTGACCCAGTGAAAGGTGAAGAGAATATGAGCTAAGAACAGGAGGTTGGAGAAACAATTTGTCTGATTTGGAGGGTGCACAGCATCCAGTATCTTAACTGGTTAAAAGGACCCTTTCATCTTCTAAGAAAGTTTATTTCACCTGACCACCTTAAATGGACCTTAGCTCTCCCACAGAGCAGCTTCAATCATACCCTAAACTGTTCCTCAGACACTTTGCAGAGAAGAGCACATGTTAGCCAGTAGTGTAGTCAGGCAGTGTGGTCTTTCTACAGCCTTTGTTACTTCTCCTTTTTTCTTTGACTTCGACAGTTAAATGTAACAAAAGAAGTTAAAACAAAGAAATAATGGGAAAATTTGTTTCCTTTTTAGTTCAGTCTGGTCTCTTTGGCCATTTAAGATATGTGATCATTAAAATATGAGATCATCTTTGAACTTATTTACAATTATATCTCTCTAGGGTTTCTATATTCATGTCACAAAATCCAGCATCATGTTTGCGCCTAACATGACATAACGGGGGGTGCAGGGACACTGTGCAGGCTGAACATCATATCGAACCTTTAAAGCAACAACCGCTTGAGTTTAACATCTTTTTCAGAGAAAATATATATATATTTTCAATCTCAGTAACATAATGCACCTGCTATCTTGGTCAGTGACATACTCAGTAGTTAAAGGGTTGATAAAATGTTATTCCCAGAGGTCAAACCTGCCGGGTCCTGAGGGCATCTGTGAGGATTGGATTAAAAATATATTGAGAAATCAAACAGCTGAAATCTTTTTGAATGTTAAAGTGAAACACACAGTTTCTTGTAAAGAAACTGTGTGTTTATAAAACAGTGCCACTGGTTTGTATATAACCGAAGGATTAGTGATCCTAGAGCTCACACACCTTTGTAGTTACTCTTTTAGTGACTGGTTTTGTGACAGACTTAAGTTGTTTTCAGATGTTGCTTTTTTGGGGGGTCCAAACAATTCTCCTTTGTCCATTATTGGGTACAGGCTCCCTCTGTGTGACTACGCTCACTGATGTGCGCAGCCAGACATCCAGTGTGACTGTGTCCCAGCCTGCCTATCAGGCCGCAGCAGCAGATGAAGCACATCTTTGTTTAACTGAACGGTTTCATTTATTGGACTCTGGCTGCTCTCTGACTCCCTCTGTCTGTTTCTGCAGATGATCCCATGTCTGGCCTGTTTAGGAAACCCATGATGGACGACGGTGACGTGTACACCTCCCTGCTGTCCAATCAGAGCTTCACAGCCAGCCGGGAAGCCTCCTACCTGTCGGACGACCTGAAGCCCTCAAACCACTCTCCCTCATCTGCTCTGGATGACTTCACCACCGACACCTATAGCTTCACCTCCAAAACCAAGGCGTCCAACTTATCCGACAACAGCCCAAAATCACTGCTGGGCTCCGACAAGACAGAATCCTACAACTACATGGATATCAGCCATGGGGAGGAGCATCATGGCAGCAGGGGCTCAGCTGACCATGACCTACTGGGGAGCTACATGGATAAAAACCCTGGAGGAGATGAAGAAGATGATGACGAGAACCTCGGTCCAGCACTAGGTTCCCACTCCTTCCCCTATGTGGAGGATCCATCTGACGAGGAAATGAATGACTTCCGCTCCTTCCGCAATCTGGGCGGCACCCCCCAGTCGGCCAGCCCAGTAAAGATCACCCTGACTGGGTCCCAACCTGCTAAAGCTGAGCCCCAGCAGCTCCCCCCTCTGGTCGGCGTGTCCGAGCGTGAAAACGTCCTGAGTGTGGGTCAGCAGGGTGTTCCCACAGTGACCCTGTCGGAGCCAGAGGACGACAGCCCCGCCTCCACTCCTAATGCTTCCCCAACAAGTAGGTGCAGAGCAGATTTATACCCAAACATCTGGGTCATGTAATAAATGTCCCAAATAGATCTTTTTTTGTTTTTAAGTTTATGGTACTCTAAATTCATAGAAACTAAGAAAAGACAGTTATCTTAAAATAGTTTTAAATATTAAATAGCTAAAGCTTGTTCATGTACCTGTAGTGAAACTGATGTGCTAGGTTACTATTATTAATAACAATAAGATTTACTCCCTATGGATTGCAAAAAGCAAAGCTCAAACACTACTTGTACAGATTTAAATTAAAACAAGAGGAAGTTTTAATAATAATAATAATAATCAATCCAATTTATACCGCACTTTTCATTAACAAAAATCTCAAAGTGCTACACAGTGCAAATAAAATCAAAGATAAAAATCAACATCATAAAAATCATGTGGTCATTAACAAAAATCTCAAAGTGCTACACAGTGCAAATAAAATCAAAGATAAAAATCAACATCATAAAAATCATGTGGAGGCAGAATAGGCTTGCTTAAATAAAAAAGTCTTCAAGCCTCTTTTAAAATCAATCAGTGGTTGTGGAGCTCTCAAATGATCTGGGAGAGAGTTCCAGAGACGGGGGGCAGCGACAGCGAAAGCCCGATCTCCCATGGACCTTAATCTGGAGCGAGGAAGGTGAAGGAAGTTGCAGTCTTGTGATCGTAGAGATCTGGTGGATGAATGTGGAGTGAGAAGGTCCTTCAGATAATCCGGTGAGGATCCGTTTAAACACCAAAACTACAATGTTTGAAATATATTAGCTGATTAAAGGTTAGGCTTATCAGAGTCTTTACAGGTACCTAAAACATAAAATGGATTTGTAGTTTTATTTAGACCAACATAACTTTTCCAGCAACAGAAAACCTCCTTTGAAGAACAAGCAGGTCCTGAATCAGCTTGTCTGTGCTCACTTATTTATGAAGACACAGGATTAAACTAAATCTTTTTTTTTTTTTTAATGAAGATTCATTTTTTCCCTAGCTCAGAGGCACATCAGATATCACCTTTTGTTCTTAGATGTCTGCTCATAACTGATTAACTGAAATCACTGCGTGAGACCACAAGCTGCAAGCATTTAGTTTGTTCAATTCTCATGATTTTTTAACCGTGTTTCACATCTTGACTTTATGGGACTTTAATGGAGGTCACCTCCCAGAGAGGGAGATTAAAAACAATGCTTGTTATGTAAAGATATATGTAATTTATCATTTTTATTGTGAAATGTAACCCTGTTGACAGAATTGACAGAAAATTCTATATTTTTTTAAATGAGAGTTTTTATTTAACTTTCTGACAAATTAAATTTAAAGAAATATACATTTTGTGTAAGTTAAATTAGATCATTTATTTCGAACAATGTTGATACAATTGGCATTTCTACATGATCTTTTTTATGTTTACTGTTCACTACATGTGTCTGAATGTTTAAATCAGGGTTTCCAAGAACAAAATATCTCACTGAGGATGAAGGAGTCTGAATAACTCATCTATCAAATATGATTTAATTAGCTTTAAAAGGTTTGGTAAAAACTTGAATTAAATTACTTAATTGGATTTCGTAGGTAAAACAAAACCATTCAGAGATTATATTGTAAAGCCATAATGCCCAGCTCTATTGCAAGCAGTTCCTAAACTCATCTGATGGAAGACATCTGTTGTCCCAGTCACAAAGGTACTGTAACAAAATCTCCCTTTACCACAAGGGCAATAAAATTAACGATGGAGATAACTATATTTGCACTACAGATTCTTGCAAGTAATTAAGAATTGGTGTGAAAACAAACGTCATATTGACTGTCTGTTCATTACTCTAGATTCGTTTGTCACAGTTAGAGCCAAGCCGACAGGTTCCATACAATAGAAAAAAAACCTTGCCAGTGGAACAAGACAATTTACATTTAACATAAAAAATGATTTACTTGTCTTATTTCAAATGAATACTATCTAACTAAATTTATTTAAGAGTAAAAATACTCATTCCATTTGAAAATCATCTTATTTACCTACTCAAATTAAGAGTAAATACACTTAATTAAAGAAATGTTCACTTATTTTTAGATCATTTTTGCAGTGCAGAAAGATAAATCCAAGGCAGGTTTAGGAAAAGTGTGAAGGCTTTGCATAATCATGTTGATTTTTTTTTTTTTTGAAGAACCTTTTTAAAAGTGAAAAACAATCAGGAAGTGTAAACAACCTACTACATACAGACTAATCTAATTTATGTTCAGAAATATTTCATGTTCACTTGGGGTATTCTTCAAGGTAATATCTTGTTGGATGTGTTGTTTTGTTGCAGACAGAACTTTAAACTTTAAATGAACAATTTTGGGTAGATTTTTCTTAATATTGCAGACGACAAGAGCATTCCTTTAATTGGTTGTTAGTTTGTTGCGATTAAAAAACTGGTACTGGGGTGTTGGGATCAAATACCTTTAATAATGAAAGGTATGTCTATTAGGGCAGGCATGATGCCCAGCAAGAGAAGGAACTGTGACGGGCTCACAGAAAAACCTTAACAAGGAAAAACAAAGAACCAAACAGGGACGAGGAGCCACTTGGGGGAGAACTGAGAACCAGGGACCATATAAACACTTAGGAAATAAGAAATAGATAATAATCAAAACGATAGAAACTAAAAACTTGCAGAAACAGAACTAAATCTATTGTAGCATAAGATTTAAACATACTGTTCTATAAATTAAGCCACATTTAGGTCTAGAGCCAGTCATGGTTTTAACTCTAGGCTGATGACACTGCTGTGTATTATGGATTTAAATAGTGCAGGTTTTCTCCATCTTCCAAAATTTAATTGATTTTTCTGTTTTATGGGGTAATCAAGACACTTCTGCAATCTATTTTCTGTTTCATGTGTTAACAGGAAAACAATTTTCCTCTGAGGAGATGTTCAAGGTTGAGTCTGGAAAGCCTGCAGCCTTCAGAAGCAACCCTGGCCCACAACCCAGCAGCAGGGACAACGAGGGCAGCAGTGCAGAGTCCGGAGACTCTGAGATCGAGCTGGTCTCTGAAGACCTTCCCAAGGCCAGTAGCAACCCATTTACTGAGGCTCCAAAGGGCAAGGGTACCTCCAGCCTGCCCAGCAACCCCTTTGATAGCCCCCCTGTTACCAAGGCTGGCATTGGCCTTGCTGGCGGCCCTGCCCCACCCACAGCCTACAGCATTTTAAGGGAGGAGAGAGAAGCAGAGCTTGACAGTGATCTCGTCATCGAGTCTGCCTCTGAAGAGAGCCCCAAGAGGGAGCAGGGCGTCGGAGGCCCCAAACAGGGAGCCATCCCTCCATCGCCTCTGGTCTCCTCCACCAGCCCTCCCCGCAGCACCCCTGAGGCTGCGCCAGTCCAGCCACTGATTTCTGAAAAGGCCAAGAACCCTATCAAAGCAGAAGAGGATCGTCCCAGCAAGCCTAAGCCTCCAACCGCTGCTGTGCCTCCAGAGGTGAGATCAGAAAAGCCTCAGCAGGATGACACGCCCCTCCAGCAGGGTAAGGGAGAGCTGGGAAAGCCTGCTGTAACCATGATGTTGGAGGGCTTCAACAAACAGAAAGGTTAGTGCAGAAATCTACTTCCAATTCAAAGGTGTGCTAATATGAGGTTTCCCCGAGGCTTTACTAATTTAATCCGTAGGAAATATAACAAGTGAAGCATTGAGTGTTGCTAAAATGCCTTCATAATTATACATGTATTTGAACTAAAGCATGACATCTGTAAAATATAAAAATGATGGGATATTTCTTTGAGTGGGAGGTGAAGTGCTTCTCCTCAGCCCTGTTTACATACACTGCCCTCTGGTGGTATATATTAGAAAAAAGAATAAAGCCCTTGCTTTTAGAAATGATTCAAACACATCTCCAGGAAGATTCCATGTTGAGAAAAGGCTTTTATTTTCATATTTTTGCTTTTCACTGGTTAAAATCACTTTCTATCCTCTGAGCATTAAAAACTGCAGCGATGCATACAGCAGATATTAGTTAATGGTGTTTTGATGTTAATCTAGGGCGGTCTGACTTGGTTGGCTTTGCACTCTGGCCGTGTAAACACCAGACTTACATAATTCTTCAAAGCTAAAACTGGGACAGATTCTCTCTTACATCTTCTCTGTGAATCAGAGCATCTTATTTATTTTTCCAGACATGCTCTGTCTCTATTCACAAAGTAGCGTGGCATGCATGTGTGCAAGGGTTTCTGCAGACTTTGTGTCAGTTACCAAATGAATCAGTTAGATTGTGACATTCATGAATATTGTATTGATCAAAACAACTTTTTGCAGTCTTGTTGTTTTTGTTCATCCTGAAAGAAGGTTCTGGAACCAAAAGAAGAAAAAAAAAATCAAACAAACAAAAAAAAACAGGTCATGTGAATTATTTTCTCCACCACTAGAGGGAGCAGGACAGCTTTGTTGAAGATCATCAGATATTTATGTCATCAGTCAGAGCACTTCCCCACCAGCTGCTATAGCAACAGTGAAGGGGGAGCATGCTCAGTGTGAGCTGTTCCCTTTGCTCCTGGTTGGTGTTGGCATGGAGGCAAATGAGGCTGCAGAAAGCAGAAGGTGTGAGGTGTGGCAGGGGAAAGGAGGCCTGGACATCAACAATGGCATCAAGTCAAACCATGAAACCTGGGCTGAAAGCGTGTGAGCCGATCAGCTTGCGTTAAACCTATCCCAAACTGGGATGAGACTAATATTAGCTGCTTCCTGTCTTGCATCTTCAGATCTCCATTTGAATTCCAACTGTGGTCCAAGGAGGAAGTCATAAAGCACAAACATCCTGAAGGCGCCACATGGGAGAGATGTGCTTAAATATTTAGTCTTTAACATGAATTATTAAGAGCCATACGTCCTCGTTTAAAACTGAGATATAATAAAAAATAGAAGTGTAGCAACTATAATGCCAAAATAAAATAACCGAGCTGGCTGTTTGCCAAATTGTTACTCAGCAACCATTCCATCCTTAATGAAACATGTTTCACTCCGTCTGCTGAGCCATGTGACAACAGACTATAAAAAGGCTTTTTCAGGGATTAGTGCATGTGGGAAATGTTGTGTTACCCCAATAAAGATGCTGCTAATGAGCCTTCACAACAAATTGACATGCTTTGGTTTGCCAGACGAAGAAATTCTGGATGATGCACAGACTATTAGGTCTTCACACACCAAAACATTTCTTCACAAGACAAAAGATCCGCCACCATAGTCATCCTCTTATCCCTGGGGGCTTTAAATCATTGCATGGATGGTTTGCTGCTGCAGCAATGATTCTGTGCTGTTTACAACGTGTCCCCCACCCCCCGCTGCACTCCTCCCCCAAGCACACCGACATACACGTATGCACTCTCCCAGCTCCTCGAACCAGCGCTGCTCCACAGCATCAGTCTTTGTGCTCCAAGAGTCGGCAGCACCTTGGAAACCTCTCCTCCCTCCCTCTGTACCTCCCTCCTTGACACCATCACAGTCTCTCTCCCGCATCCTTCCCACCATTCATGCCTTTCTGGGGGATGACTGACTGAGTCGCTCCTGTCGAAGAGGAAAACGAGGAGCGCAAAGAGACAAAGAGACTGAGGGAGTGGGAACTAAGCTGAGCAGCAGCATGCAGGCCACTGCAGACATGACGAAGAAGGAGTGCTCCTGGAGCGGCTGGAAAGGCCAGGGTACTGACGTCTTTCTGTGTTTTTTTAGCGGTTGTTCTTGTTGGTGGGTTCAATATTCCAGAAGCGGGGCGTGTCTGATGTGGATTGCATGAGTCTGTTAAATGCATGTGCACATTGATCGTTTCATGGAGAGTTTTTGGGGTATCAGATGGGCTCCCTTATTCTGCATGAACCCACCTTTTGACTGATTCCCATATCTATCCTCAGTGAAAACAAAGAGGACAGGTGATCAAAGACAGCGACAGCCTTTTTGGGGAAATTGCATGCTGTGCTCCATCTGTTTGGGATGCATGCTGGGATGGATTCAGTGTTATGAACCAAGGCGTGCCATTGTTGATACCCCACCCCTCCCCACTGAGCAGGGTGCCTGTTTTTATATGCTTAGATTTTAGGTGAAACGCGGCAGTTAGACAGTCGGATAGTGCTGACAGCCCTTCTCCATGGTAACCAGGCCACACCCATCCTGATTACATCAGGCCCATGTCCTAGGCCACCATGGCAGCATGCAGAGCATGCCACGGGGGTCCGTCCGTTTCCGCTGAACTGGTGCTTATCAGAGGGACCACGAAAGAAAATGGCGTCACTGTGACTACTCTGTGCTGTTCAGCCACGCAGTAAAACAGAATAATATATTTACTGTGATACAGCAGGGATCATACAAGCATCTCATTGTTCAGGCTAGATCTTTACAAACAAGACATTCAGTCTTTATGCTACTGAGTAATTTAAGGAGTTAATGTCTCCAAAAATCTCCTGATGTCCAGGATCCGACCACAGCCCGCTAAACACGTCAAATGACTGCTGATAGGAGCTGAAATCAATCCGATTTACTTTCCCCCTCTGAATCATGCACAGTCATTTTTAAAGCTGCAGGCGTTTTGTATAGTCATTCTCTCTGCTGAGCCCACGACGGACCCAGCATCAGTAATGGGCCTGGATCAGATTGTGATGCAGACTCACTCCTCAGTATGACCAGAAAACATACACTTCAGTAGGGACAAAACAGCCAACATGTCCATGACCCAAGTAGTGATCTAATTTAGAGTGCATCCTGACAATATTCACAGCGCTGGATCTTTTCCTTCATTTTAGATACGATGCAACTTTATTCCATATGGTATCATAATATTGCCTATCCTAAAATGCAACACATAATATCCATTTATGACAGTGTTGGGAGGTTTTGAGACTTGATTTATTATAATTGAGAAAAAAAATCTAAGAAATCACTGCGTATTCACAGCCTTTGACATAAAGCGTAAAACTGAGCTAAGAAGGACAGTAGTTCTGCCACTGATGATCCATTAGATGTTTCTCTAACACAAAAGAGCAGCACTATGAAAAACCTTGATGATGAACTGAACATAAACTATTTTCTTAAACAAAAGTTTTCCTGCTGGGATTAACATATTGGTTATTTTAAGGGAAGTATTGAAAAGAATAAAAACATTGAATTAATTCGCAAATAACCATGTGCTGGTATAATAACAGTAATATTATTTAGGAAAGTTTTGCAGTTTTCATACAAACTGTAATATGCTTCAAATGTTTTCATTTGAACAAGTTACTCTACTACTGCTAATATTTATTAAAGTATAACAAATTTTAATTTTTTTTATTGGCAGTTTGGTTTTATTATGACATGAGAGAAAAAAAAGTAAATGTCCTAAATGGGGAGAGTAAAGCACAGAATATCAACTTTTGTTATTCCTAATTTAATTTAATTTTAATGGTAAAACTAGGAATAAAAAAAGCTGCTATTTACTTGTTGGGTTGTCAGTCTGGTTGCAGCCTGCAGGCAGATGCTCAACACAAATGCAGTTTTTAGTTTCCTTTAGTAAGATTAAATAGTGGGAAGTTACACCAAATGAAAACAGGATTTAGAAATGGTCTTTTTTCAATGAGGGAAAGGCTTAATTGCAATATTTTAGTCAACTTGGCAGTAAGAAGGAACATGTGGGGGAGGGGACAGACTTTGCAAAACTTATGGAAACTATGGTCAGTTTGATATTATCATTCATCTAATAAAGAAAAAAAAATATGAGACCACCCTTTTTTTTGTTTGTTGTTATTCTTATTCTTCAGCTAATCTCTCTTATATATCTATATTAAAAACAACTAAATGAATATTGATTTCTTTCTACCACTATACATATGTATTTAGCAGACCATGGCTAAAATGGGGATAATAAAACCTTTACATTTTCCTGTCAGAGACTAGAGGGACTGAAAAGCTGAATTTTTTACATAATCTGCAGTTTCCTGATCATTTTAGATAAAACATCTTAAAGCAAAAGTAATGAAATTGATAATAAACCCCTAACATCTCTGCCAAGAAGACGCAGTTCCAATCTTTCTGCTCGTTTTCTCTCCGTCTGGCTGAAGGCTCGTTTGAGGCCACAGAGATGTCTTTTTGGTGATTTAATTAGGTCAGGCTAAACTAGTTTCATTACAGGAGGGGAGGGTGGGAGATATTATTGTCAGCTGTGTTAACTGTTTGATCTGGTTTTGGCTCAGGGAGTGTTGAACATATCAGGCTGCTCTGTTTTGGCCTCTGAAGTGTTGAGGAGTGGGTGGATCACTGTCTGACAAGGTCCTACTTCAGTGAGTTCCTTAAACATGTCAACCGCAAAATTGATATAAAAACGTTTACATAAGAAGTAACTGCTTTCAGGAATCATAAGTTACTTTAATTAAGACTCCAGCCAGCAGAGTTGTTATACCATATTTTGTCTTTAAACACTAAGAAATAAAAAGAGAAGTTGAACAAAACAATCTCATTTCTTAAGTAAATATTCAAGTTTATCAATTCAAGTTGATTTTCAATAAGTTGATTTCAACATGTTTGGAAGTAGAGTTAAATAAATGGGTTGTGGTTATTTTCAAAGAAAATTTTGATGCTTTATCTGCTTGAAGGGGGATAGTTTCAGGTATAAACAGAGGTCAGTTTGTATCAAAGCTGAGTGTTGTTCAGTTGTTTTACTTGTATGTATTTGCTCCCAGTCTGGCTGATGAAGCTGCCTTTGTCCCCGTGCATCATGAGAAAAGGAGTGTCTGTGTTTCTGTGCTGTTTGGGTTCGGAACTGAATGATGAGCGGCTGATTCTCCACGTTCAATATGTTCCCAAAGGAGCGCTCTCTCACCCCTCCCTCCTCTCTCCATCACTGGGTGAGCAGTGGGGAGAAAATGGAGCATGGTTACTATGGTAACTGCATCAGGCAGAATCCCGCTTGCTTAAAGGAGCTGCAGTCTTTGCAATTTTCAGTGACGCTTTTCGTTCATGCACCGACTTGCGTTTCGGTGGCCTTTAGAGTTACAATCTGTTTTGCTGAACTGCCCTGTGGATCAACCACACCCCAGCCACACATACCCCCTCCTCCCTCCTCCCCTCTGCCCAGGCAAATTTTGATTTGCTTGCCATGCCGGTGGCCCTCCCCTGCTCTGTAGGGGGGGGGGGGGCTCCCCCTCCATTGCTCTCCTTTTGTCCGTGAATAAAGCAGCTGCCTCTTTCCTTGTTCAGCCATGGGAGCCGCAGGTCAGTACACACTTCTCATACAAAGCTTTTCAGTCATGTCATAGAGTTTCTCCGAGCAGGACTGCTAAAAAAAACAAAACCTTTGTGTGTGTGTTCTTAGACGCTCTGCCTGGTGTGACTGTGACAGAGCATCTCCATTCAAATCATTCAGTCTGTCAGGGATGCATGTGCAGCAGCAGTTGTAACTGAATGGCTCAGCTTTCTGACTTCTGACAGAGGATGGTTATGAGATTATGAGAAACGGTCTTTGCAGTTACGCCTCGCTGGAACAGTTCACGTGAAGCAGCAGAGATTATTTAAAACCCAGAGAGCTGTGTTACCATGCAGTTCCAGCAAGCCTTTCGGCTTCCACAGACGCCTTTTAGCAGAGAGTAAAGATGGCCGTCATCACTATGCTGCTCACAGCTCTACGGCTAAAATTAGAGCGGACATGCAGGCAGGCAGAGCGAGACACTGGAGAGCCGAGCAGCAAACCCCCATTCATCTCCGATTTGAAACTTTCCATGAAGTTGGCATCTCTTTGTGCTTTCTTCTGTGGACACCAAGGCTTTTCCTGGCAGATTCCACAGGATGCATTGTGAACCCCAGTTGAACTGGGACCTATGGGGTGGCGAGGGAGGCAGCTGGCTCAGCTGAGGTGAAACAGGCTTGTATCCATAGCAGAGGACCGTGTCGGCTGCTGAAGCTGTAATGGTACACTGAGCTAATCCTCAGTTATCACTTCTCCTTCGTCTTTGGAAGTAGCTTTAAATTACAGGCCCCAGCACCCAAAGATGGAGGAATGGAAACATCACAGTGGGATGAATGAGAGTCTGTACAGATTTTGGGTTGCAGACTCCACGTTTCCATCCTTTAATATGAAAGTGTGGCGTGTTACTGCTTTGATGCCTCGTCATCCTTTGCTGCTGACCACTGCGGTTCGGCCAGGTCGCAGTGAGCCCTTATCAATGAGCTGCTGATTGTGCTGCTATTTCTGCTGCAGCTTCTCAGACCTGCAGGTCAATCATTAACAGTCCGGGGAGTTGTTACAACACCAGAGTAATCATTGCATGTATGGTTATAGATGTATGGGACCAATGCAGGTGATCACAAAACCACCTCCAACCAGCAGGCCTTCAACTCAAGCCTGTATGAATCTCTCTCAGCTGATTACAGTGAGCTTCTTTCTCCTGCAAAGGGTACTTTAATCTAAGATGATGAGAATTGATTAAACCTTTGTACTGTCAGAGTTAGATGGCTTCGTGATCATGAAGAATCTGAATTTAAGAGGAACTCCTGAGAGTCGCAGCTATCGGAGGATGTTTGGTTATCAAGAGCTTCCAGTTTTTGTATTGTGACCTTGTTCTGTGCTTTCTCCTCAGCAATTGACCTCCTCTACTGGAGGAACGTGAAGCAGTCTGGTGCCGTGTTCAGCAGCGTCCTCCTGCTCCTTTTCTCCCTGACCCAGTTCAGCGTCGTCAGTGTCGGGGCCTACTTAGCTCTGGCGGCGCTCTCTGCCACCATCAGCTTCAGGATCTACAAGTCTGTGCTGCAGGCCGTGCAGAAAACTGATGAGGGACATCCTTTCAAGTGAGGGAAACAGGTCGATCACTGGCCTGGAAGTGGTTTAGAATCCAGCTACACTGACAGATTTTTTTTATTTTTATTGTTTCCAGGGCTTATCTGGAGATGGAGATCTCTCTGTCTCCGGACCAGATCAGTAAATATGCCGATAAGATCCTGCTGTATAGCAACACCTGCATGAAGGAGCTGCGCAGGCTGTTTCTCGTACAGGATCTGGTTGACTCTTTGAAGGTTTGCATCATAGTGAAATTAATCACTGCTTTCCTTTTATTCCTGCTGAGATGTTTGCTTTAAGTTACTGCGCTTCAGTTTGCAGTTCTGATGTGGCTGCTGACCTATGTGGGTGCACTCTTCAATGGACTGACACTGCTCATCCTAGGTGAGATCATCTGATTTGCAAGCACTGCCGATGACTCACTTAATGAAGCGACTCTCTGTTATTGTAGTAAAGCCATTTATCAGTTTTCTGTAAAATCAATCTCTTTTAAGAATTACGTCATGATTTTTTTTTCTTTAATCAGGATAAAGCTCACCCTCAAAAAACAAATTTTCTCACTCAAATGCCTAAAATGGCAAATATGAAAATGATCTTTTCTCTTTGGGAAAAATGTCTGTCTTTTGTTTTTGTTCTTTTTTTCTTATTAAGAGGAGTCTCCTCGTTTACTGTTCAGCTGCAGAAAACCTTTACAGAATGGGTTTTAGATATTTTCGGGTTTGAATGCCAGTTCAGAACATTTTAATCTATATTCTCCATCCCACTGTTCTTCTGCAGTGTTTTCAGCTCCTTCCTTCCTCCTATACTTTACTTCACTTTCCTTTCCCTGTATCCTTTTCTGCCTTGTGTCCTTCCTTTCCATCTTTGTTTTAACTTCCTTAAAGGCAAAAATATTTTAATACTTTTCCTTAAACTTTGACCTTTAATTCTTATAATTTTTGTCATTTTTTTCGAACTACTTATGTACCTCTTTATCTTGACTGATTCATTCATTCCTTTAGCTTATTTTTCTACCTTCCTCCTTTCATCCTCCATTCCTCTTCATTTATTCTCTCCAGCTGTTTTTTATTGTTTCTTCCCTTGTGCCTTTTCATTTATTATTTTACCATGGATGTAAAAAACGAAGCATTGTTATATTTTCATTTGAAAACAAGGGACTGAAAACTTTGAAACTCTAGAAAACAACTGAGTTTTTGCATAGTAAATGTTTAAAAATAATTTTCAACCATATGTGAAAATGTTGAAGGGATTTAAAAACTAAAACACATGAAACGTGGGGGGAAAAAAGTCCTGGCGAACTCGAATTAAAGTCCAAATCCTCAGAATGTGTCAAAATGATTTTCAGTGCCATCAACATTAGCTGGGCTTTTGGGTCCAATTTGAAGAACTGTTGTTTTGTCAAATCCTGCAGGGGTTATCTATACAATAATTATCCAGTTTGTCATGATTTTCATTTATTAACAGTTTTAGTTAAAGATCTTATTAGCTTTTCTGCCACAATAACTATTATTGATGAACAATAACTAAAAGTTAATATATACCACAATAACAGGAATATGTTACTATTATTTTAATACACTCAACAGTCTATAATAACAGAGTTTGTCACCAACGTTCTGAGTTTTGTTTTTGAAGCAAATATTTTTTCGTTTATACACTTGGTTAAAGTAATGTCATAAATTTGTACAGGTATATTTGTTTTAGACTTTAACTTATATTAGCTTTACTTACATATTAGCCAAAAACAATATATTATGAACAGTTTTGGTCCATTGCTTAACTTTTCCTCCTCATATTCCTCTACAGCTGTGGTGTCAATGTTCACCTTGCCGGTGGTCTATGAAAAACATCAGGTAAGAGCAACGTTACCACTGGTCATTTCAGGTGTGGAGGATCTGGTGCAGCCTTTCAACAGGTCGGTTTCTGTTTACAGGCGCAGATTGATCAATATGTGGGATTAATACGGACCCAGGTCAACTCTGTGGTGGGAAAGTGAGTGAATGCATCTCAAGTTTCCTACACGTCACACTATATATAGGGGAATGTTCAGAGAGACTATATAGATAAAATAAACTGAAACTGATTTCATGTAAGACAAACTGATGTTTTTCCTCATGTTTCATTTATAAAGAGTGGATCAGGGCAGACACTTTTTCAGATCTTCAAAAATAATCCAACACAAATATTTACACTCATAACCTTACTCTCAGTACAGGTTGTAACTTTAAAATTGTAGATAGCTATTTTGGCATATTTTTTAAACAGAGCTTGAAAAGCAGAGCTAAAAAGGTTCACAGCATAGTTCCTTAATAAAACCTTACCTCAAACCGCTTGATGAAATCAAAACACCAATGTTATTCCCTGTCTGCCCAGGATCCAAGCGAAGATCCCCGGGGCCAAGAGGAAGGAGGAGTAATCCTGTCCGTGACACCTTGAAGCTGACGGTCCAGTCCAGCACCGAGTCGGGTTCCCGGCTGAAGGGCCCGATCATCATCTGTGGGGCGTAGTGCTTTGTCATCTTGGTGTTCTCTAAAAGCATCCACTGGGGAAGCCTTCACCCTGTCTATAGCAGTCTAACACTAACACACAGTCACAGTATGTGCATAATCCTGCTTCTAGGTAGATGACTACACAGCTCAAAGACAAAAAAAGAACCTGTTTGTGTTGCTTATTATGAAGTGCATGAAATCGAGCCTTGGGTAAATAATATTTGATATCTTTTGTGAAGTTTTGAAATCACGCTACATTTTTGCTTTGCAGTGCTAACCACAAGTTGTATGGTTTGGCCCAAAGAGGCTGAAAGCCCACAAACCTCCTCCGCTGCCAGTGTTGAATACTGCTTCGTGTCTCAGTTAACATTCGGGGCTTTTATCAGTATGTCAATATATATATATAAATAATTTCCTTTTGGTGTTTCCAAGCACAAGATAATTTACGGTATGCGTGTTAGATGTGGTAACTGTAGGGGTTTTGCTCTTTGTAATAACCATAAGGAACAACACACACACTCACATTAGGTACTGTTGTACAAGTATGAAGACAAGGAGTATCGGTTGATATGAAGCTTGTTTGAATAACTGTCCAACTTTGTATTTCGTTCAGCTATACTTGGTAGTTCTTTAGACCCTGGACTCTAACTATTTGCACTTACAGTATGTATTTAATTACAGGAATAAAAAATAAATGTACCTTGATGTAACGTCTCCTGTGCCACCTCACTGATTCTTCCTGCCAACTGAGGCTGTAAGGGACGAGAGTCTTGGAGGCCATTTGGGGCTAAGTCTGACCTGGTGAAAGCTCTCATGTTGAGTCTGGGTTCAGAGAGCTATAAATAAGAAGCTCTGGATTCTGACACACAAACAGCACAGTGCTGTGTAGACGCAGGGGTCAAACACAGGTGTTTGGAAAAAAAAAAAAAGACTGACAAGACAAGACTCATCAATAACTACTTTTAATGGCCTGTAGGTAAATAATTACAACTCTACATGAACATAAAACAGCCCTTTTGGATAAACAGCAAACTTCTGCTTTGATAACATAAAATATTTTCGAACACAGTTTGTCTTATTTTAACATTAAAACCATCTAAAGAAAAAGTTCTCATATCACTCCTGTCATTCTCATACGGAGCTTTTATTTATCTGTTGAGCACAATGGGAGAATGGAGCTGGAAGAGACCACCCTGAACGTTTCCACCTCCTTGCTCTGCAAGGACCATTCTGTGAGAAGGATCAACCTGCAGGACAAGAACAGGCTTTAAAACACATTAGTTACTATGTGAGGGGAAAAAAACAGAACATGGGCTAAACAATGGAAAGAGAAGCACTCATCTGTAACATACCTGGTTCCACTTCCATTGGTTCTCAAGGTACGCCGGAGTGACAGCTGGTCTTGGAGGAGTCCTGATGAACAGTCTGTAAAAACAAACCCTTAAACATGTTACTGGTTCTCTTGAGATAGTCAATAGGTTTCCATGTTGATGTGAGTGTGACCTGGTGAGGCGGTCCCCGCAGTCTTGTTGAAGCTGACGGATCCTTTTCTGGCTCAGATGCAGAGTGCTGCTGGGCCCGTTGCACAGCAGGCTGTTGATGGCCGACCGCAGAGTGTTAATCTGAAAGAAAAACAATCCAGTGCACAAAAACTGGGACTGAAAAAAAATGTACTGCAACAAAAAGCAAAACAATAATGTAGACTTATCATGGAGAGCATTATGACCATGAAAGGTCTGCACCTTTACATCACTATATATGAAACTGATGTAAAGCTCTGAATATTGTGACACCTTTCCATTAGAACCAGCACTTTTAGCTACAGCATCAAGTAGGGGTAAAACAAATGTTGTGAACCAAAATTTGTGATAAAAGTATTAAGAGACGTGTGACTGAATGGCCTCTATACTTCTACAAAAACTCTAAAAGTTTTACATCAACTGGACTCTGAACAAAAAAAACATCTGACAGCATCTCAGAGCTCATTAAAATAACCTTCTATACACTTGCGTGCGTAATTATATAATAATAAGCAGTCAAATGTCCTAATATTTCCTCTCCACCTTAAATAAAAAACAACAGTTCAATGTTTTTGTTGCTGGTTTTAATCAGGGTCTGCAAACCTAACAGTCCGAATAGCACATTTTTTTCTCAGTCCAGCTAAAACAAACTTTTTAAGAGCAATAAAAGGTACACAAACTGAAAAAAACAGCTCATAATTGTTGATAAATATTTACAATAGGAAATATTTCCTTAATTTTAAAGAACCACCATTCTGTTTTTTAGATTAGATTAAATTAGATTAGATGAGCTTTATTGATCTCACAGCGGAGAAATTCACCGGTCACATATTGGCATAGTAATTAATTTTTAATAATATCAAATTGTTATGAAAACTAGTGATAATAAAAGAAGCCCTAAATAAAAATTTCTGCTACTCGGCCACATTAAAAGCACAAACAAAAATATACTTTATTGTAATCTTATATGATTACATCTTATATGATTATCTCTCCTAAAATGCTGGCATAGACTGAACTTTCTATGTATTTTCTCAGTTTTGCATAACGCACAGCAGTGTAACGCCCATGAAATGATGCACAAGCCAGAGTCCTGAGGGGAGCAGCGGCCCTCTCTCGGCATAGTCGTGTGTGAAGGACCGCTGGCTCTGATGGCAATGTTTGACTCAGCTTTGGAATCAGTTTTGGAAGGATTAGACTAGGAAGAGGCTCTACGCTCATTCATGTTTAAGAAGGATGTATTCGCCATTTCACCGACAGGCTGTTTGTTTACACTCCCCCACCAGCTTTCTGTCGCGCTTACTACGTCACAGTCAGTTGCGCACATTGGTCAGAGTGTTGGCCAATAGGCACAGCGGTGATTCCAATTAATGAACGAGACTGTGGCAGCCCGCAAATACTGGAGCAAATACGGAAGAGAGAAAAAGCAATTTATGTTCTTAATATATAATTGTCTTACCAGAGCATGTTTGTTTTTAGACATTAACTACTACTTGAGCCAAACCGAGACCACCTCTTCAGGCCACATTAATATTGTTGCGCATTAAGAGTTCGATTGTGCTTTATACTGACCCACACAGCTCCAGATTTAGGTCGAGCTAAATTTAGATTGACCTAAACCTGCAGGTGTGAAAAAACACCCTAAATTTTGGTACACTTCAGTAGGATCAGATCAGACCGGTTAACCTTTACTCTGCAGCAGCCAGCTTGGCTGCCCATGGCCCTGTTGCTGGTTCTCTGTTCCTTCCTTGGACCACTTTAAATACATACAGACAGCTGTAAACCCAGAATAGCTGTACTTCTAGAGATGCTCCGACTCAGTTGTCCCACTTAATACTCCATGTGCTTACTTTTCTGACTTTAACTTTTATTTTGAGGATAGACCGATACCACAAACCTCCAACCAACAGGTGCCACAATGAAGCAATAATCTGTCTTTATCTCATTCATCTTGTGCATCTATTATATTTATTTATTAGCCTTCTAATCTTGTTACCAATAGTTGAGTAGAAATGGTGGTACATTTGAGAACTTTAACAGCAGCATATCATAAAGCCACTCTGTGTTCTTTATAATGCAATATAGTGAGTCTAACAAAATTATGCTCGATTCTTAGTCTAGAATATTTAGGTATCTGCTGAAAAGCCATGCTGTTTTCTTAACAAGGGTAGTTTTAAAACAGAGTTGGAGTGATGCAAGAGAAGCTCTTTCAGTGTCCACACTATAACTGGTTAGGGGTGTAAATAATCGCTTTGTATTGATAAATCGATCCAACAGCCGACGATCCGATGCATCGATGCGTCCGCAAGAGTATCGATTCATGTTTTTTTTCCCCTCCAGTCTATTTTTATCCATTTGCTCCTGGACGTTATTCTTCCTCCCGTGCTGCGGTGGCGCTAAACCTATTTTGCCCTCCTACTGTACCTCGCTTCCTGGATATACTCTTGAGGCAGTGTGTTGCAGTAAGCTTGACAAAGACATTTTTGATTTATGCTCAATATTGAAGCGTAGTCTTAGCTATTTGTGTGGGTCTAGATACGACCGATGCGCTGAGGAAGTGGGGGCGAGTTAAGTCCGATGATGGAGGGACATGAGGGCCAAAAAGAGCGGAGATCCAGGTGGAAAAAGGGTCCCAGCATTCTCGCGTACCTCACTCTTATAGTGGGTCAAACTTCACAAGTTGTTTTCCGTAATTTCGGTCATAAAAACTAACCAAGCCGGCCTCCTGTCTGCGGCACTGTCTGTGGTCACTTACAATTTGGGAGAGGTGCAGCGGAGCGTCTGTGGAGGGGGCGGGGACGTCTGGAGCCGAGGTATTGCATTGCACTCATTGCACTGATTTTGTGCAGTATAATTTGATGCAACTTTTCTACATCTGTTATTTGATGTTTTTTTTTTTTTAAATGCATAACAATATTACAGCTTTCATTGATTTATTTCAAATTTGAAACATTGTCTAGCCTGTAAGGTGTAAAAAACAAACAAACAATCGAATCGAATCGTGGTGTATTCTTGAGTATCGAAAATAATCGAATCGTTTGGTCAGGAAATCGATACTGAATCGAATCGCCATGATGGATGTGATTTACACCCCTATAACCGCTTATATTTTAATGGCTAAAAACAGTCATATTTGTCTTTCTTTGAAGTGAACAAAAGCTGTGGATGCTTTCTTCATCCAGCAGACTGGAAGTGCAGAGGTGAGGGAATGGCAGGACAGAGTTATTCAATGCTTCACACTGACAAGACTTTAATTTGTATCACTAAAAAAAAACATTTTAAATTCTCAGAGAGCCATATAAGAAAATTTTTTGTGTGGTTTATTTCATTTTAGGGTTTTTTTCTTGACTTTTAAAGACATTTTTATGACAACTGAAACACCAGTTAAAAAAGTTTGCTTTCCCTAATAAATTACATTTATTTTACTTACTTGAGTAGGCAAAGCAAAGGTGTCAGCATAATTGGAGTAAAGTTCAAGATTAAAGATCCCCTTGGCTGCTGTATTATACTGTAAACACTCTACACCTTAACTTTCCTTTCTTAGGCCTAGTCCATTCAAAGAAGAACACAGGGCATTTTTATAAACAGCTTAGAAAAGATTTTTGTCCAAACTCAGTGTACACGGCACCAAATAAAACGCTGCAGCACGCATGTCCGGCCCTAAAAATAAGTGTTTAAAATTCAAACATTAGCTATGTACAAATATGTATCTTAATTGAGGAGAGGAGACAAGAAATACACATTAGAATACAAGAACATCTATGGAGTGATAAGTCTTAACTGGATCAAAATGCTAGCAGAAAAGATTAAATAAAAGCATTTTATAAATACGGTATTCTTATCAGATTAATCAATTATTGAAATAATCAACTAATTTAATAACCAACTAGTCATTATTTGGAGTATAGAGACTGTAAAACATGCCTTTAGCTGACAGAGCAACCAACTTAGAGCAGTAATTATACAAAAATTGTAAAAAATAAATAATACAAACATTTTGCATTTAAGATTTTTTTTAAAGTTGTCCGTCAAGAGATAAGAGATATATATAGCTATATAGATCCGGTTCTCTCTATTATCCTTTCAAAAACAGAGTTTAATTAATTTTTTTTAGTTTTACACGTCTCTCTAGATGGCACAAGGTGACTTTCCGTGTAGAACTTCTGCACTGTACCACAATCTATCTGGCGACGAGAGGAGGAGGTACAGACTTTCCTAAGACCCACCCCCTTCTTCTTCTGATTGGCTAATACTGTTATTTTCAGAGTGCTCCTTTGCTACCATTGACAAACGCAAGAGGGATTTTGATTGTCTTTTTTTTAACCATTTATTTACTGTCAATTTATTTTCGAGTGATTTTTTTTACCCACGGGCAATCGCTAGGGAACGGAATACTTTAATCCCTGCACATGTTTCATAAATATTTCTATTTTGGAAGGTTAAGAAAATGTATTGAATTTATACTGGGTGACCTGGACTGAGATTAGGAGTTGAGGTATGGTTTCGTATATTCTATTATATAGTGATTCAGGACATCTTCGGTTATATTTATTTGGGTTGGTTTAATGTTCTAAAATTCCCATCAACATTCTAAATCAGAAACTAAAACTACTTACTAATCTCTAATGAAACTTAACTTTTTGTTCCTAATTATCCCCAGATGATCAGTAAAACAGAAGTTTGCAAATGAATAAATTATCAAATATCAGTTTAGAAGAAAAACATTATCTTTGAATTGTGGGTGGGTGATTTAAAAGGGGGTCTTATCAAAATCAAACGGCAAGGCCCAGGACCTGCTTCAGTACTACATTTCCACTTTTTTGCCTTAAATGTCACATGCAGCAATGCATGTGTCATTTACGCGCAGAAGGATTTTCCTCAAACACAAGATATCAGGTAATTTCAAAGCCAACAATACACTCAGAAACAAATTGGTTTATCCTAAAGACAGGACACCCAAACGTAAGCAGAGTTAAAAAAAAATCTAAGCAAAAGTCAGGTTCCCTTCCAATTTCAGCATGTTTGTGGTTGCCATGATCTGGATGACAGAATTTACACAGGCATCTTGGTATACCTTGATACCAAAAACCACCCGAAACCTTTAGTGAATAGCTTCCAAATGCCAGAAGAGGTGTAGTTTTAGTTTATCTTGACAACCTTTATTCCTAACCTAAGGATTTTAGAAGGTGCAGCACATTTTCAATTTTCACTAAAAGATATTTTGATGATCCCCCCGGAAAAAGAACATCCTTCACTATAAGTGGTCCTACTAATTGTCAACCAGTCTGGTGATCTGTTCACGTAAGGGTGTTCTACGTGCTCGTCCCCATTTTCACTTACCGGTGGTGAGACTGACATAGCAGAAAAATTGCAAATCTTCTTTTGTAAAGTTTGTAAAGTAAGCTTGTGTGAACGATGCAAACAGCAACTTTTAAAAAGAGTGTGCACAAGGAATGGGCTTGTGCATGCTCTTGCACGCATTTAACAGGCGTTCCCTCTCAGGAGTGGGTACAGGGTTGTGCATGTGCATTTTTTTTTAAAGTGGAGAGGACCGGTCTTTTCAAAAATTTGCGTAAATCCTCCACTATACCTTTAAAGTTGCGTATGTAACCCTAAATCCCTGATGACTCCTTGATGACTGCCACAGGGCTATGTGAAAAGTACTGAAAGTTCCAGGTGCATGCCACAATACCTAGCATTTGTTCTTCACTAAAGACAACCGTTACCTCGACGACGTCTTTGTTATCCAACTTGACATCAAAGGCCAGTTCAATGTCATTCTCAGGCAGGATGGGCTTCTGTGCTACCTCGTCGAAGCCCAAGCCGCAGAGCGCTCCGGTGTAGTAGCTCTGTTCTTCGTTTGTGCTGCAAAAGGTAAAAAATTTTGTACATTTATTCTCAGTAAGTTAAGGCTCTATACAAATTAAATGGCAACAGAACTGTTGGCTGAACAGACCGCAGCTCCAAGACTGGCGTGAAGAGCATCATCACCAAGCTAGGCAGTCCTGGGATGTCAGGCAGCAGGGAGGTATCGTTCAGCAGGATCTGTGTAGCTTTTAACATCAAACACACCTCATCACCCAAATGCACTGTTTTAATGTTTTCTCTGTTTATCTTGTTTGACATCAACTTAAGTTGTCTAAACAGAATACATAAAGCATGATACAGTTTCACTTTTAACACAAAATCCCTTCATATCCAACCTGAAGGATTGACGGCCACCTTCGCAGCCACCAGCATCCTGTGATGTTTGAAGTGTGGGTTTTCATTTAGGGTGAAGTGGTTGATGCTGCTCCTGTCAATACTGACGGTCCTGCAGGACGACACACTGCTTATCAGCAACTGGATTTAACTCTAAATCACACTTTCTGTTCTGGGTATTACCTGTAGTACGTTTTCCTGCTCAAGCTGTGGAACTTGGTCTGGTAAGGACTCCAAGGTCCCAACAGATTAACCTGAATCATCAGAAAAATTACTTATTATCAACCTTCAGGCATTCCCAGAGCAGTATAACTTTGATCTATTTGGAGAGTCAATAAAGTCAATAAAATGGGCACCCCTGAATAAGGATGGCAAATAACATGATGGTGAAATGCCACCATCTAGTGCAAAACATGAATTACTACAGTCATCTTAATGTTTTTCTATTTGTACATCTCATGCTTTCATTTAATGTTATAGGTTTAATAAGAAATAAACAGTTATGCTTTTTAGTGGCGGGAATATATTATAAGTTTTATTTTACTCAATTAAAGGGGTCTGTAATTAATCATAATTAAACAGTTTAATTGAAAACCAAATTTCATAGAAATTGACAACGCTTTTGATTCAAAAACCCTCTTTGCTCTTTAATTGTTAAATAAACATAAGCACAGCAACATATATATTTATTGTTTTTAATCAATTTTAAGATTATTCAACCATGAGATTGGTTGAAAAAAAAATATATATCATTCGTTCAGAAGTTGGGGGGGGGGGGGTTGAAAGTATTTTTTATTATAACCCTTATATATAAGTTTAGCTTGTTTTATAGTAGTTCTTTTGTGTTTGTTTCCTCCACTTTCTCGTGGCTCTCTGTTATCCCTCTCCTGACAAAATATATGACATGAATAATTGGACAATTTGGGGTGAAACAATCCATGTAGATTAAAAACACATAGTTTTACAATTATTACAAGCTTTGATATACAAAATCCAATTCATAGATTGTGTTTTTATTCTTCCTTTTTTGATAATTATAATCATTAATAATCATAATAATAATAATAGGCTGTTTATTTGTGTATTCAGTGATAGTAAGTGGAGGCGTTTCTATCTTCTCTGATGCTGTTTACATACCCTGTCATGCAACTGCTGGGGGAGCTAAGGCTCTACCTTTTGCTGTGCCATTCGCAGGGAAAAGTCATCCTGGGTTGCCCCTATTGGCCGCTTATCCCCAATTTTTGTACGTTTGTAATTTGATCAATTATTATCAAATGATGTCTTATAACTCAGAATACATGGTTTAAAAGGCATTTATCTTTAAAAAATAATCTTCTTGAAATGAGACTTAGAAAGCCTATTTTGTATGAGTAGGTGTGCGAACTATTGGCATTTTCATAAGTTAACTCTGTCCTACATAAACAAGATATGGGCAGCACAAGGTGAAGAAAGACGACTGATCAAGTCGAACAGACTGGGTTGAGGAGTTAAAAAATCATCTCAGGTTTACCAAGGATATCAATGTGGAACAAACAGAGAGAAATTCAAATCTGAAGTTAGCAGGAATACAATGCTGTGTGATTATAAACCAAAGGCTAAATTTGTGTTTCCAACACCATCCCTGGTAGTAAGACCGCTCTCCCATTGATATTTTCAGTCATGTTTTATTCACCAAGAGCTTTGCTGTTGTTGTTTTTTTCTAACCAAACCAAAGGGATCAAAGATGATCTTACGTTTTTCTTGCAATAGGACTTGTGGCCACTGGACAGCTGAGTCAGCAGACTGTGGATCATCTCCTCGTCTTGTTCTTTTTGTTCACTCATGGAACAGCTGACAGCAGTGGGGACGTATGTTCCTTTCTCCATTTCATTGTACACCCACCTCAGATCTTCATGGCTTTGCTGAAACAAACATATCTTTTTATAGATAATAAACATTCAGAGCATAGTACAGCGGCCAGAACGAGCAAGACAATATTGCATTTAACTGAAACACTATCAAATTTGATGAAACACTTTCACAAGTTTACCATAACAGTTGGCCTGTTCGGATTCAGTGTCTGGCGAACACTAAATTTCTGGTCAGTCTCGAGCAGGGGTGTCAAACGTACATCTGAACCATTTAGTCAAGCCCGGTGGCTAAATGCATTATCATTATTCAACAATGAATATTGAGAAAAACATGTATTTTTTTTTTATCGAAAATCTGGAGTTCCTATATTGTCCATGAGGGGTGTTGTGTTTTATTCAGACTGTAGCACTGAGCTTCAGGTTCTGTAAATGGCTTTGATTCTATCACTTTACCAGCTTTTTATTTTGGCCCTGCCAACCTCATCAACAAAATGTCTTTCTCAAAAAAGAGAAAGGTAGACACAGAGCGTCAGACTTTTCAAGAAAAACTGACTTGTTCACAGAGGTGAATGGAAAAACTGTGTGCCTTGTGTGTCTGCAGCAGTTTTCGGTGCTTAAGGAATACAATACGAAGATAAATGAAATGTTGATGGGTCTGAGGGAACAGCAATCTGTTTTCACTCGACGTCTAGAGTCCAATGATGCTTTAGCATCAAAGCTTACTGTGAGGGAGAATTCTTCAAGAACTGCATGCTGAAGGCTGGCCAAATTGTGTGTCCTGAGAAGCAACAAGCTTTTGCCAATGATAGCTGGATGAGAAATACCATGGCAGACAGGATTTCGGAAGTATCGGCAGATTTGGTCAACAAACTCAAGCGCAAAAACGGAGTCATTTCTCGCTTTTTCTGTCGCAATTGGTGAGTACTGATATTGCGGACGTCTCTCAATTGGCCACATTAATTTGTGGAGTTGACGAGACGTTGACTGCCACAGAAGAGTTTCTTGAGTTGGTGCCCATGTCCCACACCATGACAGCTGAAGACATTTTCCGCTCCGTTGTTGGAGCACTGGACAGAGTCGAGGTGGACTGGTCACGCACCATAAGCCTGACTACTGATGATGCGTTGTCAATGATTGGGAAAAAGAAGGTGTTGTGACAAAGTTCAGAGAGGAGGTACAAGCGCAAATAAAGGGGGTGAGTTTTGGACATTTCATTGTATTTTAGATCAGGAGGCATTATGCTGCAAGTTAAAAATGGATCACGTCATGGAGACTGTTGTCAGAACTGCTAATTTCCTCCAAGCCAGAGCTCTCAATCATCATCATCGTGACAGCTTTCTCAGTGACTGCAACATTCTCCATGGTCTACCATACATCACTGAGTTAGATTGTTAAGCAGAAGTGCTGTGCTGAAGTGCTTCCTTGCTCTACGTGGGAAAATTCGAGAGTTCATGGAGAAAAAAGGTAAACCTGTTCAGGAATTACACTGCCCGCTATGGCTGCAGGACCTTGCATTTATGGTTGATATCACAGGACACTTGAATAACGTAGGAAACATGGCGCTATCATTACCATTACTTTTTCATCACGTGGGTGAATTACGCAATCTAGCAACTACGAGGACAGTCAAGGCAGTTTAAAACAACACATCCCCTGCCAAGAAACTTGACGACTCACGAAGCTCTAGTCTGACCAAGAAGTTAGTGGTAGACAGACATTGTCAATCTGAACAGGCCCACTGTTGTCAAACTTGTAAGTATTTTGTAAAACATGAAAAAGGGGTTTGTCAAATTAGTTGAAGTGTAAACGTAACATTGTTTTACACTTTCCAGCCACCTTAGTTTAGCATTTAACACAAACAAATCTATAAACAATCTATAATAACTTTCATTTACCAAACGACTAAATTGAGAAAAAGTCAAAAAACATCACATTATCTTTAGACCGTATTGTATCCCAGGACCTTTCATGTAGAGGACCTCAGCTAATGTTCTAGAGTCACCTGAGAATCAAAGCTCTCCTCTGCTTTCACAGCATAGCCCTCCTCCACCAGTATGTCCACTACACTGGTACTTTTCGAATCCTTGTTGATGAGGAGCTCAACACGCATGACGCCGTACAGGATCGAGTAGAGGGACACAATTACTGACTGGTTCTTCACCATTGTGATGAAGCAGTCTCTGGCACGGCTGCTCCACTGGTTTCCCAGTATGATGGACTGGGCTGAAGGACGCATTCCAACAACTTGGAATTCCCAGGCCTTAAAAACAAGCATAAACCTGTGACTAACTTATTTCAAACCTCATTGAAGAGTCCATTTCCAATCCAGGATATGATGTTTACCTGATAAGGCTCAGACAGCAGGTCAGATGGCAGCTCCCTGAGGCTGCTGCTGGAAACAACTGCAGTGTTTCCAAAGTCCAAAAAGAACACCTACAGAATGAAAACAGCTTTGGATCAAACTTTATAAAGCTTCAAAATATCACTGAGGCAAATGCTTTTATACCCAGTATGATCATTTCTATGTCAATATCTGCAATATGCAATTTAAAGAACATTTTGGATCCAATATTTATATTGGTTGGTTTCTCAGTCCCTCTCTGCAAGAAAGAACCATTATCTTCTTTTTGTCCAAACCTTATACAGCTCAAATTTTAGAAAGTGTGTTCAATACTTTTTATTGAACACACTTTCTTTGCCATTTCTCTTGATTACAAATAAATTCATTTCTGGATATCTATCGTTTGATTTCGCCCTGTGCTTACATCACAGGAAAACTACAGCGAGCGTGAGCAATCAAATGTTAGCCTGTTAGTGTTAGTTATAGTGTTAGTTATAGTGTTAGTTAGTTAGTGTTAGTTAAAGTGTTAGTTAGTTAGTGCTAGTTAAAATGTTAGTTATATGGAGAGAGGCAGAAATCAGGATGGATGGATGGATTGATGTTGCAGTATCTATAACAACCCAAACACAGAATTAGACATCCCCAGTTATTAATTTCATACAGTCACCAGATCTGAACGCCCTGTTAAAAAGTTTCACACCCATGAGTAGAAGTAATGCAGCCTGATGATATTTAAACCGCATCAGATACCGTTCCCCCCATGTTAAGAAGAGGGGAACGCTATCTGACAGGGTTTATAGGCCCATCAGATAGCGTTCCCCCCTGATGTCATGTATGTTGAGTTGCAATAAATGCAAAACTCTCTGCAGGTTCTTGTCTTTGTCGTCCACTCCATTCAGCTGGCTTTTGAAACACACGGTGAGAAGGTGGGGGCCGGGTGGTGAGGGTTACAGGGGCCAGAAACGCAAAAGTAATGCAATAGTTACTTTTACTAGTAACTAGTTACTTTTATTGTGTAACTCAGGTACTTTTGGGAGAAGTAACTAGTAGCTATAACTAATTACTTTTTCAAATGCTGATGAAGATTCTCAGTCATCCAGGTCATAGTCATTCCGTAATTCTCAATTGTGAAAACTTCCTGGAGAGGTGGCGAAACGTCTTCAAATCTTGGAAACCAAGTCTAGTGGATATTTTCTGAACTTTTACGAAATTTTTCAAAGTAACGTGTCAAACACTGGTCGGGTTGCATTTCATTATTTACGGGTCAGCGGTGCCAGACAGGTTTTAAATGGGGATAATTATGGGTAACGGGTCAGATCTCGGTTCTGAACTCTATGGGTGCAGGAGGATACAGTTTTGAAAAATCAGACCCGTGTAGAACTCAAAGTACTCAAACTTAAAATCTTGGACAAAGTTGAGCGACACGCTTGGCATTTACTGAAAAAAGTTTGTAGAATTAAGGAAAGAATGTCCTGCTCTTCTGATATTGGGTGAAATGTTTGATATGAATACAAAAAGATTTTATATTATAATAAATAATAATAAAATATTATATCAATCAAAAAAATAATAAATTGGGGGATGACTTTGCTATCCACAACTGGAAAAATGTGAGGAAGAATAAACCTATCCAGCTGCATTATATCCCTATCAGAAAAACAAAAGATTGAGCAGCAGTATTCACCTCCACATTGTTGCCACTTATGTGCAGGATCTTGGCTCGGTAGTACAAACTCTCCTCATTGCTTTCCGAGAATGGGGCCAAACACACCAGGTTGGGGTAAAGTGACACAGTCATGGGAGACATAGTACACTTGTTTATCTCGGACGTCAGGCAGCGCTGCTTTTCCAAGCTTGCTTCATCTCCTGGGAAACCCCAGAAATGACCCACATCCATCACCTGCAGGAAAGAGTTAACCGGGAAAAACAAACCTTCGCTTTAACTACATTCCAGGACAAAAATGAAAAATCTAAGCTTTGCCAGCAAGGTGTTGGAAAAAGACTGACCTCGGTGATGTTCACAACAAACAGGCGACTGGGAGGCAGCTTGCCAGGGTTAAATTTGGTGCTGACCGAATCCATCAGGGAGAGTGACTGTCTTTGGATATCTGCCTTCAGTCTGTTTTTGAAACACAAAGTCCTTTAATGCTACAGACCAAGCAGCTTTACCAACACTGGATTCTTATCATTGCATCTTCTATTTCACCTCTAAATGTTTAAGTCTTCAAATCAAAGTAATCTGTGTTTTAAAATAATAAATTAAATGTCGTAGCTTTTAAAGAAAACTGAACGTGAAAATATAGGCACCTTCAAAAAACATAAAGGGGCTTTACCCAAAAACGCTTCAGATTAAATTATAGACATTTTTTTCTTTTTTGTTTTTTTTTAATCAAGACTAGCGTTAGAGCACGACCGAAAAATCGGTGAGTTGATTTTAGCTTCTGGCTCATTAATTGACATCGGCCAAAATGTGCCACATATAAATATTCTACTTTTGCTGCAAACAGCTGAAAGAAACTTCTGCCAGCTGCAGCATTCCTACTTAAATAGTTTTTTTTCCCTTGTGTTCAGCGAAGGAGGGAACTTTTCAGTTGCTTGTAAACATAACAAATCTATATTTCTAAAGTGTTTATGTGAACGAATGTTTTAAAAATTTATCTGAGACAAAACACCTCCCACAAGCCCATGTTCAATTCATTTTTAAAGGGTTATCTGTAGAAGCGAAATTTAACTAGCAAAATAGACTAAATGTATATATATACAAATTTTAACGGCAGAGGGGAACAGACAGATGTGGAGCCACTTCATGATAGATGGAACAGCTGATGGATGCAGCATCTGCAGAGTTAAGGTTAGTTAGGACTCCAGCAGCAGTAAAAACGGTGAATTTCAGTGAACATTTAAATCAACAACAAACATTTATTGTATAGTCTTGTGATACTGCTCAAATTAAAGTAGCTTATTCAAGTTCCATTTTCTGTTTCTTTGTCTTGAATCATATTTTTGGTTATGAGAATTTGAGTTGGACTATAGCTGGAAAATGCATATCCTCAAATCACTAGAAGTGGCTTTTGAGGCTGGGAGCATTTGCACACATTTGCAATGTGTGAGGTTGTTAAAAAAAATAGCACCAACTAGAGGCATGGAAGGTAAATTATAGCATTTTGAACATTTCTGGTAGTGATGGGTTAATGCAGATCTTAATTAAAACTTTTTCATGTCTGTGAGTTGGTTAAAGGTTAAAAATTGAAGCATGATTAACATAAATGAGTCGCACTACGAAAAAAAAGCTAATTTTCATACATCAAGCTGTACAAGCAGATTTTTGCTGTACATATTGCTATAGTGATATATTGGGATAATAATAAAGAGGAGAATAACAGTTTGTACATCTAGAAATTACCAAGGGTTTAACTTCTTTGTGTGTTTTTCATAGACTTTGCATCTAAATCGGATGCTCTGATGGCCAGAAAGCATTGGGTCTGAAAGCACCACTACTCTTTTTCAAGTTCCACCTTTGGGCCCCTAGACTTAGGTTAATGAATTCACATTGAGACATATGGGTTTGAACATTTGTTAAATCATTTTATTTTTTAAATTTGGATGCAACAAAAATGTTTTGAACCCCACCACTGATCTAGATCACATGAGCTGGTGTAGATGAAGACCTACTGTTTCAGCTAATATAAAAGTGTAAGATGTCTGTCTAATATTAAAAAGAAAATTGTAAATCCCTTTGTTGTTCCACAATGGGGATATTCACTTTCAGCATTTTGACCCATCCCCTTGGGAAGCAGTGGGCTGCCATTGTGTGGTCCCCGGGAAGCAGTTTGGGGTTAAGGGTCACTGCTCAGGAACCCAGAGTGCATTTATTGTATCTCTTATTTATTGTATATCTTATACTATATCCATTGGTTGTGCTTTTCCTTTTACATCTCTCTGCAGGTGATTAAGCAGACTGAAGGACTGCTCCCTTTTATCTCCTCTTTCTTTCATCTTGTCTCCTTTTTTTTGTTTTTCCTTTCCTGTTCTACTTACATTGCAGTGTCCATATAATCTGTAATACTCCTTGCATGAATTATAATAAAGATTTATATTCATAAATCAAGCAGAAAACTATGGTGATAGCGCTACTAATCCACTTGTGAAAGTAAAATGTGTTGGGCTCTTTTTGGCATCAAGACACTTATTCTTATTGCCACACTGCCAGACAGGACAATGTGAAAAAAAATTTTTTTAAAAAGGAACCCAGAGTGCAGGCTTTGGGGAAAGGAATCGGTACTTGCAACCTTCTCAGAACACAAGCACACTGCTCTAACCACTAGGCAAACACTCGCCTGTAAACCAGTGACTCAGTCCAGCTGAGGATCAGCATGTCAGCAAACATTAGAGCTCAATGCAGTGACCTGGGTATCTCAGTACTTTTAAAGCAGCTTATTCAAAAAAGCTCTACACAAAGCACTAAGCAGAAGATAATAAACTGTATCATATGCTGAAAAATAAACTGTATTAGACATGAGCTGTACCGTGAATATCTCAAGTGAGTCACTGATCTTCTCCCCGCACACATTTCAATCTGATCAGAGGAGTAGACTGACATATCCAGTGGGAAGCTCTTTTGGGCCATCAGGAGGGAGAGCAACACCTCAGGCAACACCCCGGAATCCTTGGAAGTCCTTTGAAACTCAACATAAGCTCTGAGGACACATATACACATAACATCAGTTGGTTAAATAAACTCTGCAGGAAAGAAAAAAACTGTGGTTAAGTTGCTCATTTGATCTCTGGTACCTGGAACAATCGAAGGTGACAGTTTTCACCTGCCCACAAAGTCGGAACAAAGACTGAAGCTGTTTGTAGTAGAGGAAACTGTATGGAGGGAGGTTCCTCACCTAAATAAAAACAATCAATGGATTACAAAAAAACTCAACCATTAAATCCGAGTCAACATTTAATCTCAAATTTATAAAAACAATTTATCTTCTTCCAACACCAGCAAACAGTAAAAAATTAAAAGCTTAAACATGCAAACAAGTTTAACTTATTAAAATTGTTATTTTTTTTATTTCTTAGAATCAATCAGTAAAATGAAATCTCTAATTTTCAGATGTGAAACTGACATAATCTCTCCAATTTAAACATCGATACCATCACTGTTGTTCTGGGGTTCAGGCCATTGAGCTCTTTGCAGGCCAGCCGTTCATCCGTTTCCTGCTGGAAGAAGTAGTTTGGGTAGAAGGCTCCTGCGATGACAACCTAAATAACAACAGAGACAATGCTGATTTGAAAGTATGTGAATACCTTTGTTTCATAACAGCATATCCAGCATACCAATTATAATTTTAGTCAGAGAAATCATACGTTTAGTGTAGAGAGGACTGACCTGAAGGATGAACTTCTGCCGGTGGGTGCTGGTGTTGTCAAGCGACTGTGGGTCCTCTGGGACATGCATGTTAAACAATGCAACACGCTTCTTCAGGTCCTCATACAACTCTGCAACCTAGACAAAGTACAGAGGAAAAACACTATCCAATAAATGACGCCACCCAGTTATTGCATGGTTCGTTAGGTTTCAGCAAGCAACAAGTTGTTTAACCTAAACTGATGCAGTGAGCAACATATTGCTTTAACACTGACAAAAGCTATGTTTCAATACTGAACGTATGAGCATTAGGGCTGCAACTAGGGATTATTTTGCAAATTGATAAATCTGTTGATAATTTTTTAGATTAATGGATTAATAATCGGATAGCCAAGGTTCCTTTTACAAAATTAAACCAGGTGAAACTAAAACGTTTCCAATTGAGGAGTTCTGGATACAGCATGTTGACAGACAACATTGTTAATCTTACAATTTTGATATATTAACTGCTCCAAGTGGGTCGCTCTGTCAGCTAAAGGCATGTTTACAGTCTCTATACTCCTTTCAGTGATTAATGGATTACTAAATTACTGTAGTTGGCGATTATTTCAATCATCGATAAATCACGATTAATCCGATTAAATTGTTTCAGCCCTAATGAGCATATCTACACCCACAATGTGATCGAAACTAAAGGGTTTGAAACTAAACAGCTGAAAAGCTTTAAGAAAGAACTAATCCTTGATCTGAAGATATAAAATTGGATTTTTAAGCAATACAATAACAAGAGGTTAAGTCAACTACTGTGTAGTCTATATAACTTTTACTTATTTATAAAGTCAGTACATCTCTGCAGTGCAAGTGCAATAATCCAAGTCAACTACTGTGTAGTCTTTCCTTAGTTTACTATGCGGATGTTTTTATATATAAAGGAAACATATTCCAGGACATTGCAACTTTCTTATACTCTTTTGTACTATATAAACTCTTTTTTTAATTGTCTGTTGTATTTTACCTTCAATGGCATCTTGTTTAACTCTTTGTATTCTATAAGCTACTGGAACCAGAATTTCCTTGAAGGAGTAATCCAAAGGGATAAATAAAGCCGAGTCTGTCTATCAACAAGAACTTTAAGTGATGGATTACTAACTTATATGGCTACCATAGAAGGTTGTTCAGGCAAAAGCTTTGCTCTGGGTGTTGCTTCAATCATGTCCAGGTTCAGCAACATCCTGAGCCCAAAGTACTGCCTGATTATAGTGAATAATGAAGTTATTCCGTCAATGAATTACTTCTCCCATACTGAATAGACAATCCCAAAGAAGACGATACCAGATTTAAGTGGCTCTATGATTGTGCAGGAGTGGGTGAAGGAGAATGAAACATTTACACACGGATTTCTAAGACCTCAACCTCACTTACAATTAAGTTGTTGTGTTGTAAAAGATGTTCAGAAGGGCTCCAACCCTCCAATCACCAAAGATATTTAAGAGAAGCTTTATTGCAAAAGCCCAATTAAACAACGTCACAATAAATGGCATCACTATGAAGACTTAATGTGTCACATATATTTTTAGTCATTTTTCTTTTTGATAAGTGTCTGGTCTCTGAGGTTGGAAGACTGTCTTAATACTAATGTCCTAACATGAAGTTAAAGCAGGCCTGCATCCTGGAGCCAAAAAAATAATTTAATTCATATTTATTTTAGACCAATCTGTTATACGTCACACCATTTAAGCACTTGAGCCGATCACCAGAAGTTGGGTTAAAACAATTAACTAGTAACCAAATAACTATTAACTGATTATAAAACAGGAAATTTGTTGTAATAAGAACCCACTTAAAGCAATAATTCAGCCAAAACGTAATAGCACAAAACATGATGTTAAACGTTTTTCCCAATCTTCCAGAAATTACTTTTCCAGAAATTACTTTTAAAAAGACAAAATATCCACTTATTCCATTTATTATATATTCTGTCCTTAAAGAAAAAGTATTCATTAGAAAATAGTTTTAGCCCAGAAAAAAAGTTTTTGCTCTTACTGCAGGTCTTGAGTAGCCTGATATACCAGACTAAATGTGAGATTAAATGTGTAATTTAGTCTGGCCCCGATGAATGAGACATCGGAAGACGGTTGATGAGAACAACCCGTTGTCTTTTAAACCATATCTGTGCCTATTGGCCAACACTCGGACCAATGAGGGCAACTGACTGTGACGTAGTAAGCGCAACAGAAAGCTGGTGGGGGAGTGTAAACAAACAGCCTGTTGGTAAAATGGCAAATAAATCCTTCTTAAAAATGAATGAGCATAGAGCCTCTTCCTGAAGTCTAATCCTTCCTAAACTGATTCAAAAGCTGAGTCAAACGAGAACTGTTCAGTAGTTGTTTCAATCTTCCTTGTTGTGCTTTCTCCAGCGTCGCGCAGCTTTGTCGTCACGCCCTCAAAACCCTGCCCGCTTTACATCCAGAAATTCAAAACACATCTCTGCATTGTGATTGGCCCGCCAGTTCCATCAAAAATTATTTTGGCCGCTGGTGGGTGGGGCTAGTTTACTAGACTAGGTCTTGAGGTAAACAGACGAGGTCAGTCTCATTTTAAAGCTACAGTGTGTAATTTTCAGCGACATCTAACGTCCAGACTGCAGACCACAGCAACATGAACATCTCCCCCCAACAGTACGGCGAGCGTTGCGGGACAAAATGTCTTCCACGACGTCCGCATCAACTACCTTCTCAAGTGATGAGGTTTGTTTACATAGATAATTTTACAGATAGTATTTTATTAGTCTGTGTAGGGTAGTGTTGCACCGATACCGATACCAGTATCGGACGGGGCCACGATACTGCCCTAAAATGGTGGTATCGGTATCGGCGAGTACCAACAAATAGCGCACCGATACCATTTTGAGAGCCAAAAGTTTATTCAACTATTGTCACCCACTCCTGGTAGGCAATAAAAAGTTCTACTAGATTCACTTTGTATTAGATTTTTTCCTGCTTCACAAAGGTAGGCAGCAGCTTGACAAAGCCATGATGGCAATTATTTTACATTATTATGGTATTGGTATCGGCCAATACTGCACAGCCAGGTATCTGGTATCGGTATCGGGGCCAAAAAATGGCATCGGCGCAACACTAGTGTAGGGTATAGATTTCATGAACATCTCCCCCCCACCGCTTCTCCCCCCCAACAGTACGGCGAGCGTTACGGGACAAAATGTCTTCCACGACGTCCGCATCAACTACCTTCTCAAGTGATGAGGTTTGTTTACATAGATAATTTTACAGATAGTATTTCATTAGTCTGTGTAGGGTATAGATTTCATGTAGACTTAAGA